GTGGTTACATCGTTCTTGTTTAAAAAAAACAAAATCCAATTTTCCCTTTTTTGCACGTACGCAAAAATGACAATCTTTGGCTTTCTCTCTCACCTGGACTTTGTCAAACAGCCCGCTGCTAATTAGTCTTGACTTTAGAAAGGATCTTTTCCGCCTTCTTGGCGCCCTCTGTGAGCCAAAAGCAATTGTCCCTCTTTTACCTCTTTGTTTTTCCTGATAGTCGAAAATCTTAATTATCTACATTGAAATGTCTCTACTTTATTAACGTGGGTGTCCAATTCTTAACAGGTCAAAGATCTGTATATCGTTCCACCAATAACTCCCCTCAACCCCAAAACACTTTTCTCTGATTAAAATTTCATTTCTATTGTTCTAAACCAAATTGATAAAGGAATCTCTCACGCAAAAGTCGGTCAGATGCTTTGACGATATCTGGTCTACATCAGCGGCCCGTTTGATATCATGTCTTTTTCCGTTTCTTTCTTCTTATTATTTATAATTCTATTCTTCCAATTGTCTTTCGAAAATCAGCCAGAACGCTGACCTAAATCTCTTTCTGACTCCTATCTCCACCCTCAATTGGGTCATGCATCATACAACTCTTTTCTCTCTTCTTCTTTTCTTTTCTTTTTTTCTTTTCTTTCCTTCTTCTTCCCTTAAGATCGTCTAGTACAATCTTAGTGAATTATTTTCAACTCAGTTATTTTCCGTTTTAAAAAAAAATCAACAACCTGTTTAGTAACCGAGTAAGAAAAATTAAATCATATTTCTATGAATATTTCTAATAATGCAAGGTGCCACATTAAGTATCGCAAACAGAATGCATATATTTACAAACCTTGCCTTACACTACGTCTCGGATAATAGCTTGGTAAGGAATTTTATTAAACAAAAGGCAAATAATAATAATAATAATAATAATAATAATATACCCTGATGCTACTCTTATGGATTCTGGTCTTAATTCAATGCGGGTGTAGAATATTTTGTCTTAGTGAATTAAGATGGGCTTAATAGATTTACTTGTTAGTGTTAGATTAGAAGTTAGGTCTCAATATTTTACGGTTGAAATCTTTAAATGTAACCTTAAGTTCTATACTAACAATTTCTTTTCTCACACTTATCGCTTGGGGAACTTTGTTCCAGCTTTTTGCTTTCCGGTAAAGTTTGATCTTCAAACATTTAAACGCAATGTCAATCATTATGTTTTGTCTTTTTCTTGTTCTTTTATTGTTCCCTTGCCTTAATGTTTTTCTTTTTCTTTTCTTCTTTCACACTCAGTAACCTCTTATGTCTTAGCGGTTTTACTGCCTTGTTTGGGGTGAAATGATTAAAAGTCTCCCGCTGCTGCGTTCTATTTTTTACAAGAGTCAGATCAGACTAATTGACTGATTTTTTTCCTATGGCTTATCGATCCTTTGCAGGTTATTTAAAGCCAGAATTTTTTTTTATATTGTAAGTATTTTTTGGAGATAATAATGGTTTAATGATATGATTAATAATTAACCCATAGCTAAGGGGAGAAGAGGTTAATCCATACCCTTACCCAGGGGATTTGCGTATAAGTGAATATAACGAACTTAACTGGGATTGAAACTGCTCTCCGATCAACAATTATCCATTACACCACCTGCATCTCCAAGCTTACAAGACCTGGTATTCCCAAGCGGTCACCCATATAGGTACTGACCAGGATCGACGTTGCTTAATTTCGATGATCGTACGGGAACCGATGTTTCAACGTGATGCGGCCGTAAGCCTAGATCAGACAAAGAATGTAGTATTGCTTTCATATCTTTGTTGTGCTGCTCAGATCTAACTGTCGAGCCTTGACAGAGTTCAAAAGAGCGTATGCGGCCTTGTGGGTGATAGATTATTCTCCATCTTACGACTCTCGTCTCACAGGCGAAACGTTTCTAGCCTCTAACTACTCTATTGCTATTGCTATGGAAGATGTTCCACCACCTCAGCCCTTCACAACTAGGACCTACCATGTTCACGGTGGCAAATCACCCCAACCCCATTTCTTTCGTGTACCTTTGAAATGTGCCCTATTTATTAAATTATTTATGAGGGTTATTTTGAGAACTATTTCCTTGGGATTTTTAGTGTTTTATGCGTTCTTTTGTACGTAAACAAGAAAAATTAACACAAAAAAATCCTTGTCAACGGCCCGTAGTATGTGAATGATAAATTCGTGGATTCATAAAAAAAAAAAAAAAAAAAAAAGACGCTGAATTTCACACAAGAAAACTCAGAGATGCTTTATTGGCAGAACTATAAATGTCACTTGGTGCAAAATAAAAATAGATCAAATCCATATACACGGACGCTTGAAATTTTAGCAAGCGAATAAAAGCTTGCCACAAACACTATCACTGCAATCAGGTGTTCAAACACTGATAAAAGCGACAATTTTAAATAATGACTTCGAAAATAGGCAAATTCAAGGGAGATTTTAGCAGTTAGTACAGGGGTGGCCAACCTTTTGATTTCATGCGCCAATATTTTGTACGATTAATTTAAATGCGTCATACAAACATTCACTTCATTTCAGTACGTGTTGTAATATGGACGTATTTTAAAGTTATAATAAAATCTATTTATTTGAAAAATATATGCTTATGACCAGAGGCGGATCCTTTTATCACTTTCGCAAAGGACGTGCAATAAATATAAAATCACTGAAATGAATGAGTAGAAGTGGCTTAGTTTCTTTTCATCAAAAGGATGCAATGCGCCACTTGTAAGCACCCAATGCGCCACTTATTGCGCATGCGTGACAGGTTGGCCATCCTTGAGTTAGTATATTCGCATCTTTTTTATTTTAAAGTAACGTCATTCTGAATTCATTTTATTCTCTTTTAGCATCTTTTATCCCTAGTTGCGTATATGGCGCAGCATCTCCGCCGAGATCCCGTAATTTTATACACTATTTATTTACTTTTTCTGCTTGGGATTAGGTTTTCGGTTCCCTCTAAAGTCGACTTCCACCTCTCTACTTCTAACGTCTCCGAATGAGCTCAGAAATTTTATTTTCTAATTATTTTTTCTTCTCTTTTCTCACAGTAGGAGTAGACAGGTTTGTTGGAGTTAGCTCCTCCTTAATTCCCTAATTATTCACTAGGGGTCGCTCTCCCTAGACTATAAATACTGGGCGACTTCTTGCCTCTTTCTCTTTTTCATTTCTTTATTTCAGCGAACACAGCTACAATGTAAGCTCTCGCAAAAAGACAACGTCTCCCCACTTGTAGAAAAGCGTCATGAAAACATGCACTCACATACTGTTATGGGACCTTACCCATAATAACATAATGGACTATTCCATAATGTAATAAATACTGCGCCTCAAGAGGAAGCAGGAAGTTCAGCCTCAAGTCGGGCAACCGGCTGATCGGTTGAACTCTCTGCCTTCGGGCGGGGAGGAACCCGAACGAGGCTACGCCGAACGTCGGAATCTCTTTCGGGGAGGTAAACCGACCCTGAACCCGTTATACAGGTTCAAAGGGCATATTACAGCGAGCCACGAGCTCGGAGATCCCGGCTCGGAGATCCCGTTAAACCGGCTTTGTGCCCATGATGCCCTCGTGGTGGGAGGTGACTAAATACTGTTCTGTCTGAAGTCTGGGTTCCGTCTGAAGTCTAGAGTTCAGTCTGAAGTCTTGAGTGAAGTCTGTCAGTCAGTCAGAGAGCAGAGTCAGTCAGTCGAGTCAGAGGCAGTCCGAAACAGAGTCGCGTTCAGACAATTACTACTAAACCTGATTGTTCGTACTAACACTTTCTACCTCTCTGTATATATTCCTGTTTTGTAATATATCTGTGTAATTCCATATCCGTGTTCGAGTTCTTCTTTATTGGTTCTGCCTTGGACTATCATCGTTGTACTAGGAACCGGACCATAACACTTACACGTACATACGAACATTCAGCAAAATACAAACTCTCTACGTTCAAACACAAACACAAATGTTAATGTCTTTGTCACTTGTAAATTTGTTGTTTAATACATATATTTTTTGACATATATATATCGGTCTTGTTTGTTTTCTTTACATCTTCTGTTGGACTCCAACTTGTTCTTGTAGTTGGACCTGTGGAATCTTCCACGTCATCCAGTCACCTCTGCGTGGGTAAATAAACTATTCCCTGTAAGTGAATATATGACAAGCATTCATTGGTTAATCACCTTCAATCTAGCTTGCTGATTGGTCAGTTTCGAGCAATCAAATCACCCCCACGCGACAGATCTATTTTGACGCCAACTCAGTCAGAGCCCGTCACGTGATACAACAAAATAATAAAAACAAAAACACGTGTAAACTCTCTCTCTTTCTCTCTCTCTCTCTCTCTCTCTCTCTCTCTCTCTCTCTCTCTCTCTCTCTCTCGCATCTCATTCCTTGCTGCCAAAATGTAATCTTCAAGAACTCCCGTCTTAACTAATGCAGTCAGGCGTTAAAGACCATTATCAACATTCACGCAAGTACGAACTCTGAAATCTCTTCTGAACTTTTACCAACTTGTACAATACACAATTCCAAGCATGCAACAACTCATTCTTCTACAGTTTAATAATCAACTTCTTCTTTATGAGCTTAGGTACAAATATTTCCAAGTCTAAGAGACACAACTCTGTCTAACTTTTCAGTTCACATGCATGTATATCAAATACTTAATAAATTCAATTGTTACGTTTTGAAACAATACGTTATGTTTTTGAATAATTATTCTCTGTCTTGTATTAATTGTTGTGGATGGAAGATTATTGAACACACACAATTTTAAGCCTTCTCATCATTCAAACCTTCTATTCCTCTCCAACACACATCACACATCCGCAACAGACCTTCTTCTAGCAGGAATAAACAGCTCGTGTTCTTAATTCAACACACGCAATCCCACACGGACCACTACAGGTTCGCCGATCGTCTGGTTCACACTCCTCCTTTTGAACAGGAGTAGAGGTTTATCCCTTGTTTCCTGATTAGGATTGGGTTTCCGGTTCCCTCTAAAGTCTACTTCCACATTATATTTCTAACACCTCCGGCTGATCTCTGAAATGGTATTCCCTCATTAAATCCGCCAATAAGTTAAAAAAAAACAACAAAAAACAACTTCTTTGGATTACTTTATTAAGTAGCACAGTACAAATAGGAGTAGATAGGTTCGCCTATCGTCCAGTTCACGCTCCTCCCCGGCCATTTGAACAAGAGTAAAGGTATATCCTTTAGTTTACTGTTCATGAATAAGTTTCCGGTTTCTTCTAGAGTCTACTTCCACACTATACTTATAACGTCTCACCCTGAAATGTCACACTACGAATTAAACCATGACCTCTTTAAGTCTAGAGTTAGCCGTTATCTTTCCTGCTAAGCCCCAAAAGCTTCACTTCTTGCTCTTCTTACGATCATACAACACCACACAATAACCCTCTACCTTGAGTGGCTCTTGGGCTTCATACTGGGTGAACATTAGTAATAAAAATAAACATATATAATATCAGAGTACTGTTAATAAAGAGAATTTGTAAAAGTCTATACTACATTTAGATCTTAACTTGTTCAAGTCTAGGGTTAACCGTTACCTTCCCCACATATCCGCATAGATTGTGCTTCTTATCTCTACCTCGAGTGGCTCTTGGACCTTGTACATCATTGTAAAAAATGGGTTAACGAACACTGCTCAGATTCTCCTAATTTTTGGATAGTACTTCGTATATACACTGACGTGCCAAAAATCAGAATTTAGTAGTCTGTAAAGGTAATGTTAGGTGACACCACTGTTGCTTGACATCATAGAGTCAACAAGAGTGGTTAGCTAATCCCTGTTGCAAACCCCTGCACAGGCTATGGTTTATATTGCAACTTAATATTGAAAACTTATACTGAAAATTTAATAATAACATTATTACCAACTATAAACACACGCTAAAACATTACAATACATCGTCATCTTTCTTTGAATCCATTCTTAAAGAATCTAACTCATATCTATCTAACGCAAAAAATACATGCTTAAAGAGGTCAGCCATAAATTAGAACCATGTGACACCCCGCTGTAGGAGTGACCGCGCAAAGTTGAAGACATCAGAACTCCCACTAGAGAGACACACATACACAATTACGAATACACATCCGATGCCGACTTAGACATACAAGAATCTTCACAAACTTACATACACACAGTATTATCTACGGTTGTAATGCACATGACACGGCTTTGAACAATCAGAACTGACCCAAACATAATTGAAAATACCAGTGTTTCTATCATTTTGTCTGTTTTCTTTCAATCTCTAACGAAGCTTTAATAAAAGTGAAACATGTTAGACTGATATGCGTTTCGTATTTGTATTTGTTCTTTTATTTTATCGGATTCCAATCCATATTTGATCTGTGTTTGGTCGTTAACGCATATACGTATATATAAACATACTTTTAACTGTTTTTATATGCAAAAAAATAATTTAAAATGTTTTATAATTGTTATATACAGTACCTATGAACACTAATGGATGTTTCTCATTCCTCATAAACTATTGTAAGTGGGGGTAATATGCTGTCTAAGTAGTCCACCACTAGTAGTGGTTTACCTACTTCACGTCGCTGGCGAGTATTGTATTTTGTTGATGTTATTCTCATTTCATTTCCAACTTCCGTTTTGGTTATTCCTCATTAAGTAACCCTTCCTAGGTTACAACACAAAGTAATCCAGCACTCATTTCTATGCTTCTAACGATTTTTTCCCGTTTCTCAGTAC